ATCAAATGCTTCAAGTGCAACGGGTTCGGGCACAAGGGTACGGAGTGCCGCGCATCACAAGGTATGGAAGCTAAAAAAGCATCAAATAATTATTATGGAGGAGGTGATGAACAAGATCGGCGATCTATGTTTGTTCGACAGCAGGAGGACGACGAGAAGAACGAGAACGAACTATACGAACGTGAGCAATGCGATTTAATGAACAAGTGAGTGAAATGCCAAATTTTAGTTGTCAACAACTAAATCATATTGTTTCGTCAAATTTATTGAATGTAAACAAACGTGATTCTATAAACATGAGTGTAAAATCAGTAAAAGTTGGTAACTATGTGACTAATTGTTTAATTGACACAGGTAGCGACTTAAATTTAATAACTTTTGAATTGTTTACAAAACTAAAATGCGAGTACATACCAGAAAAAATGTTGCTTACTGGGTTAGGAAGTTCTAAAGTATTTTCGATTGGTAAGTTCGACACAGATTTAACTATTGACAGTCACAGATATAGTATTAATTTGTATATTGTACCTACAGGTGGAATGTAATACTGATGTAATACTGGGTCAACAATTTTTAGTAAATACTATCAGTTATTGACAAGGGTTTGGTTGAGGTCAGGCCTCCTTGTTATGACATATCGTATCAAAATGCTATCTGTCTATCTTCCAGTAGCGATGACCACTGTACATCGGTTAGGGAAATTATTGACAGTTACACACCTTTGAAGACTAAAGATGCACCTATCAGGCTGAAGATTGTGTTGAAGGATGATGTACCAGTTTCACAAAGACCAAGACGACTAGCCATCACTGAAGAACAGTTAGTTAAGCAGCATGTTGATGCATTGAGCAGAAACGTACTTTTTGTTGATGTCGAGTTACATGCAAGAGTGAAGAAGGCTCAAGCAGATGACGAAAGTTTGAAGGTTATCAGAAAAATCTTAGAAGAAAATGAGTATGAAGATTATTTCCTTGAGAATGGAGTTATTTACAAGGGTATAGAAAAGAAGTTGGTGTTACCTAAAATACTGGATATGGAAATTATTAAGAAAGCACATTGTACAGGACACTTTGGTAAAAAGAAGATAAGGGATATTATAGAGAAAGATTACTTTATTACTAAATTAGATAGCAAAATTGAAAAAGTAATTTCTACATGTGTACCATGTCTATTAGCAAGCAGGAAGTCTGGAAAGAAGGAAGGTTTGTTAAATCCAATAGAAAAAGGAGAATTACCACTGGATACTCTTCACTGTGATCACCTAGGACCCTTAGATGCAACTAAGAAAATGTATAACTACATACTTACTATAATTGATGGATTTACAAAGTTTGTGTGGATTTATCCAGTCAAGACTGTAACAGCAAAAGAAACTGTGGAAAAATTGAGATTACATCAAAAGGATTTTGGCAACCCACGGAGGATTATCACTGACCGAGGTACAGCATTCACAGGCAGTGAGTTCCGAGAACATTGTGAAGAAGAAGACATCGAACATGTTACAATCACTACTGGAATACCTCGTGGAAATGGCCAAGTAGAACGCATGAACAGTATTATTATTTCTGCGTTGACAAAGATGTGTATTGAAGAACCTGGTCACTGGTACAAATATACAATCAAACTACAACAAGTGATAAACAGCACATACCAGCGGGCAATCTGTACTACACCATTCGAACTGTTAACAGGAGTGAAACTTAAACTGAAAGAAGATTTATCAATTTTAGAATATTTAAAAGAAGAAAATAGATTGCAATTTATGAATAGGAGAGAAGAAGCACGAAGAGAAGCCAAAGCTCAAATTTTAAGAATGCAAGAGGAGAATAGAAAGACTTATAATAAACGACGTAAAGTAGGAGAAATGTACAAGGTTGGAGATCTTGTAGCTATTCAAAGGACACAATTTGGGAACGCCCTAAAATTGAAACCTAAATTTTATGGACCATATCGACTTCCCCATTTCCCTAGTGATGCGATATGGTCCATAAAATTTAGGTTTCAATTTTAGGGCGTTCCCAAATTGTGTCCTTTGAATAGCTACAAGATCTCCAACCTTGTACATTTCTCCTACTTTACGTCGTTTATTATAAGTCTTTCTATTCTCCTCTTGCATTCTTAAAATTTGAGCTTTGGCTTCTCTTCGTGCTTCTTCTCTCCTATTCATAAATTGCAATCTATTTTCTTCTTCTAAATATTCTAAAATTGATAAATCTTCTTTCAGTTTAAGTTTCACTCCTGTTAACAGTTCGAATGGCGTAGTACAGATTGCCCGCTGGTATGTGCTGTTTATCACTTGTTGTAGTTTGCTTGTATATTTGTACCAGTGACCAGGTTCTTCAATACACATCTTTGTCAACGCAGAAATAATAATACTGTTCATGCGTTCTACTTGGCCATTTCCACGAGGTATTCCAGTAGTGATTGTAACATGTTCGATGTCTTCTTCTTCACAATGTTCTCGGAACTCACTGCCTGTGAATGCTGTACCTCGGTCAGTGATAATCCTCCGTGGGTTGCCAAAATCCTTTTGATGTAATCTCAATTTTTCCACAGTTTCTTTTGCTGTTACAGTCTTGACTGGATAAATCCACACAAACTTTGTAAATCCATCAATTATAGTAAGTATGCTAGTTATACATTTTCTTAGTTGCATCTAAGGGTCCTAGGTGATCACAGTGAAGAGTATCCAGTGGTAATTCTCCTTTTTCTATGGGATTTAACAAACCTTCCTTCTTTCCAGACTTCCTGCTTGCTAATAGACATGGTACACATGTAGAAATTACTTTTTCAATTTTGCTATCTAATTTAGTAATAAAGTAATCTTTCTCTATAATATCCCTTATCTTCTTTTTACC